TGGCGGCCATGCTCTCCGACAAGAAGTTCACGAAGAAGTACTTGTCGGAGAACCAGAAGAGGCTGAAGGAGAGGCACGAGATGTTGGTGGCCGGACTCCGGGAAGCCGGGATCGAGTGCCTAGAGAGCAACGCGGGATTGTTCTGCTGGGTGGACATGAGACACCTCCTAAGCTCAAACACCTTCGAGGCGGAGATGGAACTGTGGAAGAAGATCGTGTACCAAGTGGGCCTCAACATATCTCCGGGATCCTCGTGCCACTGCACCGAACCTGGCTGGTTCAGACTTTGCTTCGCCAACATGTCCGAGGAAACACTTGCTTTGGCATTGAAACGGATAAGTTCGTTCGTGGCGTCCGAGCAACCGGCGTCGACCGGAACGACGAGCCCTCGTACTTCTAATAAGAGCAGCAAGAGGAAAGGATTCACTAAATGGGTTTTCCGATTATCGCAAAACAACGACCGTAACAGAGAGCGATAGTCTGGGCTTGAATTTGTGAATTCTTGAGTCAAAATTCAATTCTTGTTCTCATTTTTTAGTCACTCGACAAATTACAATATTCTTTTTAGGCCAACCCAGTCGTCCTTACGGCTAGTGGTTTAACTCTTCACTGTAAACATTTAATCATGAATATATGATTTCCAATTTCTCAAAACATATATTTTCATCTATTTTCCACATTGCAGGCGTATCATTTGTTATTGAACTGGGCATTAAAATTGTGAAATTTGCACTAAATAGGACTAAAACATAATGACTTTCATAATGTAGGAATTAAACTTTTTTATTCCCTAAATATGATTTAATAATGATCTAGTATGAGGAATAATGTCTAGTAATGATGGACATTTAGTTGAATAATGACTACTTGATAATAACCAAAGGTCCTGCATGGAGAAATAAAAACATATGATCATATATTGGAAAGTCATTATGTTTTAGTTTTATTTAGGTAAATTTTCAATTAAAATTAAGTTTATTTTGATTTTTTCATAAATTTCAAGAGTGTGGTCAAAGTCAAAATGAACCCAATGATTAAAAAGCGGACATGCCAAAAATTGATAGCACTACTGTTAAGATTTAGGGGTAATTAGCGACCTCATAATTGCTAATCATCTTCTGACGGTTTTAATTATTGTGCTTTTTGAAGAGAGAAGTCAGATCCAGTTCAAAATTAATTCCAGAAAATTTTGTTCTTTAGTTCGATGTTGACTATCTAACTGGCTACAGATCAAAACTCATTTAAAAAACTGAGTATACTCCCTACATCTGAGGTATATAAGAGTGTGAGCTGTAAATTATACTCTCTCCGTCCTTAAATAAATTTCCTCTTTTGTTTTGTCCTTTGTTTTCAAATAAATTTTTCTTTTCCCTTAAAAAACCTCTTCTACCCCTTACTTTTTCATACTCTACCTATCACATCATACATTTTTACTAATAATCTACATATCACATCTTACTTTTACACATCACATCAAGAGTATTTTTGGAAAGTCAACACAAAAATATCTCTCTCTTAACTCCTCAAAAACTCAAAAAAGGAAGTTTATTTAGGGACGGAGAGAGTAAATATTAGAACTACTCATTCAAATATTTTCTCCGTCCCGTAAATGTTTAACAAATTCTAAAAAATGAGGTAAAATATCAAATTTTTCAATTTATTTTTGTAATTATTGGTATGAAAATAAAAAATAAAATTTATATTTTTAAATACTACATGAAATTTTGTTAAAATAAGAGTTGTTAACAAAATTTTATTTTATTAAATAATCAATGAAAACGTACAATAATTTATTTTTTCTCTCTTTTTAATTTGTTGGAGTAAAATTGAACAGTAAATTCATTTTATAAAGGGAAGAAATAAATGCCCAATCGTAAAATTAATTTTAAAAATGACAAAACGGTGGCGCCTGTGGGTGCCAAGAGCAGACTTCCGCAGGTTAGGAAAGCAGATGAGGACAAATAATGATGTTGACGGAATTTCACTTTTACCAAACAGAAGAAAATAAAGAGAAAAAGAAATCCACGTCGGCGTGTGATGTGGCACTGGGAAATGATTGATGTGCGTGGGAGTCATGTGGTATTCACATGACAAGGCCATGGGATCACATGCGCGGTGGGCCCCGTACGATCGAACAGAAAAACATCTGCCCAAATATTTCCATCGAGGCATAGTGAACAGGTCGGGCGATGTTACGTTTTTTTAGGGCTTTTCATTTTTTTTAATGCCTCTTTTTGGCGTGACATATTAATTTCATGTTCGTATAAGCACCGGACCGGTCGGCTTATGGTTCAATCGACAGCGATGGAACATTCTAACATGTATCGAAGGACTGTCCCCACTGCCCACTTCTTTGCTTTTGATTTTATTTATAGTACCTCGTCCCTAAATATTTGTCACACTTGTAATCCCGAGACAAAATATCAAGTTTTTTCAATTCATTTTATTTACATATTGGTATGTAAATAAAAAATAAAATTTACATATCAAAAAAGTACATGAAAAATTCTTCGAAATAAGATGTGTCAAGAATATTTTATTTTATCAAATAATTAATTAAAACGTAGAAATAAACAAAAGTTCTCGCGACTACTGAAAAAGAAAATGTTGCAAATATTTAGGGACGGAGAGAGTAGTACGGATTACTCCAATTCGTAAATATTCTTCCCATTTGATTTTCATAATTTTCAATGTTGCATTTTTATAATTAATATTTATATTTTCACAAAAATATATATTTTATAAAATTTGATATTTCAAAATTACATTTTAATAGGAATATATTGATATTAAACTTATATCATAATACAATGTATTTTTTTCACATATCGGAATCAAAGTTTACAAACTTTGACCAAAAACAATCAAATAGGAAGATCATTTCCGGAGAGTTTTTTTTCAAATTAAATTTTCATTTGTATTCTTGTGTCCCAATATAGCCAGTGTGCATAACTGATGTTTCACCATTTTTTACTTATTATTATGACATTTTTATGGTAAATAACTGTTGTTGTATACATGAAAAATGAAAAATACTTCAAAAGCAATCTAATAAATTGACTTATTTAAGTTCACGAAAAAAGAGTACTCTTGTTCCAAAATCCCTTTTATATTTTCACCTTATGGAACTTAAAAGAAATATAATTTTATATTAATTTTTAAAAAATACTTTTGATGTGATCAGTAAATTGGGAAGAAATGTACGTGTAAATTTTTAGTGAACAAAAACTATGTGATTTGTAAATTTTTTGGGACATATAGAGTGTATTTTAGAGAACATTTTTAATACATTTTACTATTTAAGACAAGAGTGGTATAAATGTTCATCTATTGTATACATTATTTAAATACAATTAAGACACATGGTAGTATATATGTTCCTCGATTGCCTTAGTATAAATAATATAAATAGATTTCTTGCTTAGGCCAGACAAAACACTAGAACGATTTTTTTGTTTCCACCCTATATATGCTTTTCTTTCAGGTAATTATATATTCCTCCGTCTGTCCTAAAAATATTTTTTAGTTATTGTTTTGATATTTCAATACTTTTTGTTCATTTCTATGTTTTAATTGATTCCATGATAAAATAAAATAGTCTTATTACATACTCCCTCCGTCCCAAAAAGATTTACACGTTTCTATTAAAAAACCAATTTTACCCCTTACTTTTTCAAACCCTACCTATCACATCATACATTTTTCCTAATAATCTACACATCACATCCTACTTTTACCAATCACATCAAGGGTATTTTTGGAAAGTCAACACAATATTATCCCTCCCTTAATTTTCAACTTTAATCAAAATGGGTAACACTTTATGGGACGGAGGGATTATTTTTTATTAAAATTAGGAAATATTTAACTTATATTTTTTATGAAATTGTCAATTTATATATAAAATATTTTTTTAAAAAATTGATACTCGTAAATTTTACAGATTGTTGGAACTGAGAAAAGATTTGCGTCGGCGGGAGTATTAAATTGTTCTTGCCGGAAAGCAGGGGGCATTGTACATGTTTTCATAGATGATGCATTGTCCCTCTACCCACTAGATATGTTCGGTGCCACCGGTGGTATATATATGTATGCATGCTTGCTTGTTCATACAAAAAAAAGAACCTTATCCCCGAGCTTCTTAAAAATGTAAATTGAATTTTAATCAATTTTATTATGGTAAAGAATAGATGTTACACTTGGTAGCAACATATCTCTTATCATTAACATATTACCTTCTAGGCAACTTTTGTCTTGCCAACTGTGCAACGTTCACTGATTGGTGCACATGTTCATACAAATGACTTGTTTAGATTGAGAATGTATATCGTACACATGATGTTAAATAATGAGTGAAAAAAGCAATGGATTTCTCTAAAATAAGTTTTTAGGGCCATTAAGGTTCCGTTTCGTTTAACTTATTTTTTCTGATATGATCTGATTTTTTGTAGTTGTGATCTGATCTGATCTGATTGTATCTCATCTGATCTGATTGAATCTGATCTGATCTAATTAAGTATGATTTGATTTAAAATTCAAATCAATAATTCGATCTCACTTTATAATAACTTTTGAAAATTGTAATTTTAATTCATTTTATAATATAATAAATATTTTTTTATATTTTGGTTATTTTTTAATAAAATAAAATTCGTTAATTCATACATAAGAATAATCATTCATATTATAATTTAATACTCTCTCCCTCCACCTAGGACCTTCCTATTGCGCGTTACGAGACTTGACCGACTTTATTTTAAATTCAATTTATTTGAATATACGGGTCAACTTTTAATATAAAATCGATATAGTAATAAACTAAATGAAAAGTTCTACAAAATTAGAGGTGACAACATTATATTATTTTATGAAATGAGTAGTAAAAATAAACAAACAAAATGAATTAAGTTTGAGCATGTGAATAGTGTCTGGGAAGATCTATGGTGTAGAGAGGGAGTAATATTTTTTATTTTATGATTATTTTTTGTTTGCACTGTATCCATTTGTTTAGTTTGAATTCTACTCGAATATTTTCTCCACAATTTATTCTTAATATAGTCTTTTCAAAAATTCAATTCAGTGTGTGCTTTGTACTACGAAACATATTTTATGATTGATATAACACCATAGATATAATAGTTATTTCAGTTAGACTAAAATATACTCCGTATATGAATATCAAATGTTAATTTGTGTATGTAATGATCAAAGTAGATCAACTTAATGTAGTAAAAGATCAAAACTTTAGAAACTTGAATTACAGGTAGCAACAAAAATGTATTTTAAAAGTAAAATAGATTGACATAGTCAATGTATTTTAAAAATAATTTTTCCAACGTCTAATAATTAAGGATTATTTTCTCAGTTTTCTATTTAATAACTTGTTTCTAAACTTTATACTTTCTCATTTTTAAGAAAAAAATTAAGCTTCATGTCATTTTATATTTCTCTACATAAATTATAATCACACTAAAGTTTCATTTTCTCTCTTCTTATATTTTTTTAAGAGAAATTAAATTTATTAAATTTATTTTTTCAAAGAATCATATCAAATTTATTTTTTCTCTCTTCTTATATTTTTTTAAGAGAAATTTATTTTCTCTCTTCGTATAATAATAATAATAATAATAATAATAATAATAATAATAATAATAATAATAATAATAATAATAATAATAATAATAATAATAATAATAATAATAATTCTTGATTAGATTTGATCAGATCTGATTGGATATGATCTGGTCTGATTAGATCTGATCTGATCTGATTGGATCTGATTTGATCTGATT